ATCAACTTGGAAACAAAGAGACAAAACCAAAGCCCTGCCCAAAACTGAAGTGGGGAAAGAATTGGTTTAGTTTTAGTCACATTTGGGAAACAGATGGCGAGGCTGTACTGTGTGCTGACTAGCAATGCGAACTCTGCTACATCAACTATCAAAATAATAAAACAAAGCAAAATATCATTGGGCATCAGAATGACAATGGAGGATTCTTCATGGTCTTTCATTTTTAAACAAGTAAAGGTTTGCTCAATGAACATTCAGAAGAGATGCCCTCGGGGAATAAAAAATGGTTATATTTTTCTGTGACCAGATTCGTAAAGGTTAAAAAAAGTAAGACAACTTGATTTTTATTTTAACCACTGGTTGAGGTGAGACCCTGTGTCTCTGTTCCAAGTTGTAGGTTGGAGATGAACTTGGTTTTAATTAATGATGTAGTAGTGCCAGGAAAAAATGTTCACAGTTATTACCAAGGGTTCTGGACTGCTTGAGATTATTTTAACAATTCCCTATCTCTTCCCATCTTTTCTTTTTCTTTTCTTTTTTTTTTCTTTTTAATATAATACCAAGAAGCGGAGTGAAGGGAAAGGTGAATAGGTGTTTTTCTTTTCATTTATCAAATTGTGCATAGAGCTTACAATTATACAGAGATAATTCAACAAGGTTTATATGGAGACATTATATTTCAATTTATAAAAGAAATAAATGAAGACATGATTTTATTTTAACTGATTTCTAACTACTGGGCTACATTTAGGCCATATGTTTACAAATGAATGAACTCAAGATCGAAATAAGATTTCCAGGTTCTGTTCTACAGTGGGAAGAAAGTAGATTCCAGTCACACATGACTTAACGATGGGAGATGATATCTCTTAAGAACTGCATTGGGCAGTGTCTTCATTGTGTGACTGTCAGACAGTGTATTTGCGTAAATTAAACAGTAATGACTCCACCTGGGATCATCATATATGCAGTTTATTGTTCAGTTCATCCAGATCTACTCATCTAGGGCCAGGGATTTAGCTCAGCGGTTCCACCACCTGCCTCACCAAGTGCCAGGAGTTCAATCCCAAGTACCAGAAGAACAAAACAAAACAAAATGTACTCATTTAGCATATGGCTATAATACAGATTTAGAAAACCAGAAAAATGGCCTCGACCTGCTGCAAGTGAGAAGGTCAGATAGGTCTTCCAACATTTATGATCAGTGTTCTTGTCTGCGATCGATTTGGCAAGCATGTGGAAGTCTACCTCTGAGGAGATGGTGTACATAAAATGACATGAAGTATTAGAAATTATTTCAGGTCACTTATTTCAGAATTTGTGGCTTCTTTACACACCCCTCCAGGTTTCTACCTAAACTTAGCCTTTTTAAAACAAAAAAATTCTACCAAATCTTAACTTCTCCCTAGGTGAGAACTGTTGCCTTCTTGGGTTCCACATGCAACAGGTATTGACTGAGGTGACTCTTCATTAGAAGATAGGACCTTTATTCACTCAGAATAATTGCCCTGAATATCAAGGGGTCAAGTGGAAAGAAAATGCTGTATTTCAATCAGTAATTTTTTTTTCTTTTATTGAGTTTATTGGTACATTTTAGGTATACAATACAGTTACATTCATTACTGGGATCTTGTACCTTTACATGACAGGTGGTCTTGGTTCTCATTTTTTCCCTTGTCCCTGCCCTCCCTTCACCCCCTCCTCCCCTCCTCATTTACAAAAACTTTATTTCCATTTTTTCATTTTCTCGTATTTTTTCCCTTATTCTGTTTCCCCTACCCTTCCCACTTTCTCTACACCTTTAGCCCTTTTCTATTTCACATGGTCAATTATCTCATTAGGGTCTTATATACTATTATAGTTTTTCACACCAGAGAAACTATTGTGTATTTACACATATGTGATTTATTTATTTCACTTAGGAGTATATCCTCAATATGTATCCATTTTCCTGTGAATAAGTCTAATTTCTCATTCTTTATGGCTGAGTAGTATTCCATTTTATGGAAAAACCACATCTTTATCCAATCTCCAACTGACGGGCAAGTGGGCTGTTTCCAAGTTTTAGCTATTACAAACTGTGCCGCTATAAACTTGGGTGCGCATATATCACTCTGGTATGATTCTTTTATTTCTTTTGGAAAGATACCCAGCAGAGGGATGGCTGGGTCAAATAGAACTTCTAGTCCCAGCTCTTTGAGGTATCTCCATATTGATTTCCATAGTGGTTGCACCAGTCTGCATTCCCACCAACAGTGGAGAAGGGTTCCTTTCTCCCCACAACCCTGCCAACATTTGCTATTGTGTGATTTCTTGATAGCAGCCATTCTTTGTGGTGTGAGGTGGAATCTCAGTGTTGTTTTCATCTGCATCTCTGCAATGACCAGTGATGTGGAGCATTTTTTCATATATTTACTTGCTGCTTTTACTTCTTTGTCTGAGAAATGTCTGTTCATTTCAGATGCCCATTTTTGAATCAGGTCTTTGTATCGGGGGGGCTGATTGTTTTGAGTTCTTTATACATTCTAGATAAGAGTCCTTTGTCTGAGGAGAAGCTGGTAAAAGTGTTTTCCCACATTGTAGGTTGTCTCTTAGTTCTCAATCAGTAAATTTTTTAATCCTAATTTTTTATCCAACTAACCATGATCCTTTCAGTAGTCAACCAGGCTTTCTGTGTCTTGGCTTTTTCAACTAATAATACATATGGTATTTTTTAAAGTATATTATAATAATTTACAGATAAGAGTGTTCTCTGACAAGTTAAAACTACTGTTCAATTTGAATTGTTAATAATAATGTAAAACTTTTGGAAATACAGGTAGCTGTCTCTACTTTCCCAGATGGCTGCACAAAGTGAGTTGCATAAATGTGTAGTCACAAATCATTCTTTCAGTATTCATAACCAGTGTCCTCTATTTTATGGAAAAACCTCGCATGTCCCAGTTCCAATCTCTGTCAAGGTAAAATTTCCCCAGTGAATAATCTGTGTTTGGATGTCTCAGTTGTCTACAGTTTCTTTGCTCAACTGTTAAGTAGTCATACTCATATTAGAAAGGCTGGCAGGCCGGGTGTGGTGGCGCATGCCTGTAATCCCAGCACTCGGGAGGCTGAGGCAGGAGGATCGCTGTGAGTTTGAGACCAGCCTGGGCTACATAGTGAGTTCCAGGTCAGTCTCAACTACATATTGAGACCCTGTCTCAAAAAACCCAACAAAACAAAACAAAAGAAAGGCTAGTAGTTAGAATAGTGGTACTTACTGGAGTGACCTGACCACAGCAGAAGTTTCACAGGCCCTCTAGAGCCCTCACTTTGTCATACCGGGATGGTCTTGGCAAAAGGAAGAAACTAAATTAGCCTGCTTTTTCTCCCCAGCTCTCTCTGTATCATACTGAGTCACTAGAGTGTATGGTTCAGGATAAAACTGGAAAAAGCAGTCAATTCCAGTTATAGGTAAGAGAGCAAGCACAGTGTTCAGTGTGTTGAGTTTAGGCTTCCTGCCAATAAGAGTGCTAGCTTTTTTTTTGTCTTCTTGGAAGGACCACAACAAGAAGAGAATTATAAAAAAAAAGTCTGAGTTTACATGGTGAATGTCTGGCATGGAGTAAGTACTTCATCCTTTTAAAAATGCATTGACAAAAATGAGCTGTGTACTGAGTACCTACTTTCCCCATTACTGAGGAAGACATAAATAAGAGATATATAAAATAGTGTTATACCAGTTGTCACTTACTCTAGAGAACACAACTTGAATAAATAAAATATTTCAGCATTTAAGTGAAGGGTTTTAAGTGGTAGAATAAATTATTTAAAGTATAGGGGTTCAAAGAAGCCACCAATCAATGAATATGTATCCTAACATTATAGTTTATATCTACATGTTCTCTAAAGCTTCATGTGATCAGAGGCAGGACCTTTGGAAAGTGATGGGATTATGGGGTTTTATAGATGAAGAGCTGTTAGGGAGTGAGTCTTGTTCAGAATAAGTGGGTCACCTTTATTATGACCCAGAAGGTTGTAACTCCCTTCCCATCTCCTCCCATTACTCTTTGCTTCCTGTCTGCCGTGCCTTCCTGCTTTGAAGCCAGCCAACTCTGGACTGAATAGTAACAATAATCCTCTTCTCCTTTAAGTTGAAGGTATGTGGCATTTTGTACCAGCAAGGAGAGAGGTGACTGAAGTACTTGGAAAGCAGAATTTGAAGTGTATATGGAGAGATGCATGGCACATAGGAAGGTGAAAGAAAGCTGGCATTCAATAAGTAGTAACAGCCTAAGCAAATGTCTAGAAATGGAAATGGGTGTTACTTTGGGACAGTGGGGATCCTTGGGAAGTGGCTGTTTGAAAAATTAGGATTATGACATATAATATAGTAAAACCTGTAGCAATAGTCGTAAATGTGTTCAAAGATCCATGTATAAATATTTTGATTATTTGAAGTAGTAAAAAAATGTAGACCATTTTAATTCCACCAGAAGAAGAATTGTTAAACCCTATATAGAGCACTGACACCATGAAGTACTAAGAAACAGTTGAAAAGAATGAAGTAAATCTTTCTGTGCTGACATAGGAAGACCACCATGGAAAGAAATGACTGCATTAATGGAGAGAATGCATTTATGTAATATCTGTTAACTTTGAAAATTGATTTTGAAAAATCAAAGTGGTGTTTTGGGAAGATGAATGTGCAGACATTGTATTGAATTAAAAGAGATTGGACGCGAAGACAGATATTGGGAGATATGTGTATGAGTACAGATATCTAAGGCCATGGATGGGGACCTGAATGACAAAGAAAATGAACCTGGAGACATACATTCTGAAGGATTATAGATGAGTTCTTGACAGGTTTTTAAAATAGGGACAAAAGAGAGGGAAGAGAAAAGACATTTCCTGGTGTAAACTTAGAAAATACATACTAAAAAGTGATGTCTACTAACTGGAATAGACCCATGATAAAGACAATCCTTCTTTAAGAAATTCTTTAAATTTTTGTTTCTCAGGATGGAAGAAACAGTGCGAAATCTATTGCAGAGTCAAGGATCGCCACAGCAGAACAAAGAAGAAACTGTTAGTATACTGGTCTACCAGGTACATACACCACATTCCTTACTCTTGGCTGGGAACCAGTCAGCTTGTTTTCTTTGTCACCCAGCCGCTTCTGGTTTGAGACATTATACACATGATTATTTAAGGTATTTGTTTCTTGAACTCTTGCTTTGAAGTCAATCCTAAATTTGTTCATAGGAAAATGTGGTGAAGCAGAGACCTAGAAGTATAACACTGCAGAATCCTATGGTGAGGGCTATAGGAGCGGTGTCTGTGGAGAGAGAGTAATGCATCCATCCTGTTTGAGGAGCTGAGGAATACTTGCCAGAGGTAGAACATTTGAAGTGAGGCTGAAGAGTAGAGAACAAGTAATGTGTTCCAGGTAACAGGAAGGCTAGTTAAAGGGACAGTGGTACATATCTTCACAGTGGATTCTGGGCCCTAAGAAGCTAAAAGTAACTGAGAAATGGCCTGGTGTGACACAGAGTTTGATGATGACATCAAGATTGCATGGAAGAGCTGAATAAGATCTGGGCTTGTAAGTGATGCTCAAGGTTCTTGTACCTGATGGTATGAACTCTAAAGAGGTAAAAGATAATAAAGTAAGAAGTTACCATCTCTTTTTTTTAAATTAAAGATTGTAAACATACATGACAACAAGAACTGAAGACACTAAATAAAAATTTCAAATATACATATATATGACAGCAAAAAAGGATATGAAATAAACAAAAATTTATGCAACAGACTGATAATCCAAATATATGATTAGTTTGATATGATCTTCAAACATATGTTCTTTCTCATTTTCTTTTCATATATTTTTGAAATATTGTATTTACAAATAAAACAAAGTTACATATTATAGTTGAGAAACTGTCCTCAAAATTTTATGATTTATAAACTCCTTGGTTTTATTAATTTGATAAATATCATATGCTTGTTGATTGTATCACTTACATTTTCTAACAAAACTTCCCACAGAAAAGAAATTTACTTATATTTGAAATCCAAAAACAACTAAAAGAGTTCACATTTTTAAGATCAGATTTTTCTGTTTCTTTTTTATTATATCCCATACTTATTTTTATTATATTTTATAAGCATAATGATATAATTTAACATCAATACATATGTAATATTCTTCCCAAACAAATGACTATGACTTAAATCAAGCATCTAATTTAGAGAAATCATAAGGTTTCCAGAAAAACTATAGATATGCCAAATGTGCAAAATCCTACCCCATTCATGACCATGTTTCTCATTTAATAGTGCACACATATGTGTAAAAACATACCCCCCACACATATTTACAATGCATATGTTCTACAATACAATATATACTTTGGTATAATAAAACAGTGCAGTGATGTGTAGAATGTTTGTGATTTGTGCGATTTGAGCAAAGCAAATATCTTTGAGGCAGTTGGAGAATTTGTAATATGTACCAGATACTGAATGATATTAATGATTTATTATCCATTTATTTAAGTATAGTTATGATAAAATTTACTTAAAAATTAATATTCATTATCAGTAGAAAATAAGTACAAAGATAACATGACAAAATTTGTCTTAACAAATTTCCAACCAAACAAGCTGTAGTGACAGAAGAGGAAGTTTGCAGAAGGCAGAGAGATGAGAGAGGAGAATGACGGATGGACCTTAATACTTTTCATACTACTCATATATACAGATTTCATAAATTCTCAAATAAAAAAGCAAAGAAAATGAGAACCAAAATAACTCATCAATTTGGTAGACCAACATATAAAGACAAAGATTAATGTGTTGATAAATTTTAAAAATATGAAATGTAAAGCCTGAGATTTAGCTCAGTAGTGCTGCACCTGCCTAGCCAGAAAAATGTGCTGAGTTTAATCCCTAGCACCAGGGAAAGAAAAAGAAAAGAGAAAAGGAGCATATGTGCTTTCTAACATACTCAGTAGATTGAAAATGAATTATTTGTTATCTCTTCCTCTTGAATTGTTCCCTTCACAAGGATGTAGTAGCCTTCTTTGTCTCTTTTAATCAGTTTAGTTTTGAAATTTACTTTGTCTGTGAATAAGATTGCTATCGCTGATTTTTTCTGGGCTCCTGTTGCATGAAGTTTTCTGTCCTTTCACTTTCAGTCTTTGGGCTTCTTTTTGCACTAGGTGTGTCTTGTATACAACATATTATTGGATTTTGCTTCTTAATCCATTCTGCCAGTGTATTTCTCTTGATTGGTGAATTGAGGCCATTGATATTGATGGTTATAACTGATAGGTACTAATTTATTATTGTCATGTTTTTTTTCACCTCCTCCTTTTAGTTTCTTACCTTACCTATTTGATTTGCACTGTTGGACCTCATTGTGTTGTTACCTTCATTGTCTTTTTCTAGGATATTGTTTAGAATTCCTTGTAGTGCTGGTTTGGTATTCATGAAGTTTCTTAGGCATTCTTTGTCATGGAAGTATCTTATTTTCCCATCCATTTTGAAAGAAAGTTTTGCAGGATACATCAGTCTAGGTTGGATGTTGTTTTCTTTTAGAACTCTCCTTAACCTAAGGGTTTGTGTTGAAAAGTCTGTTGTGATTCTAATGGGCTTTCCTTTGCATGTGATTTGTTTCTTATCACTTACTGCTTGTAGTATTTTGTTCTTCTGTTGGGTTTTTGGGATCTTGATTATTATATGTCTAGGTGTAGATTTTTTTTTATCACGGCTAGTTGGAGTCCTATATACCTCACTTATCTGTATGTCAAATTCTTCCCCTCTGTTTGGGAGTTTTCTATAATTAATTCTGTGAACAGCTTTTTTAAGTCATTTGCATTTTCTCCTGCTACTTCTTGAATTCCTATCAGTCTTATGTTATTCTTCTTTGCATTGTCTAAGAGTTGTTGGATCAATTTCTTATGATCCCCTACTGTTTTCAAGAGACCTCTCTTTTCATGGTCACTGACTGCAATTTTATCTTCTATATCTGAGATTCTATCTTCGGACTCTTTCATTCTGTTGCAAACACTCTCAATGGAGTTTTTAATCTCCTGGATATCTGCTTGAATCTGCCCTATGGATTCCATTTCTTATATTGGGCATTTATCATTTCCATTTTTTTCTTATGCTGGACATTCATGGCTTCTATCGTGGTCCTGAGCTCATCTATTTTCCTCTCAGTTTCTGTTCTAGAGTCTCAAAGTATAACTTTCATTTTGCTCATCATCTCTATGATTATCTGGGAAATTACTTCTGTTTTAAATTTCTGTAGAGCCTGATTGATCAGTTTTGTTACTTTCTGTGCTTTGAGTTCAGGGTGTCCTGATGGTTCACTGTCAGACTTTTCATCCTCATTTGCCCCACTCTTTGCCATTGGTGAACTGGAAGTTTGTCCCTGTATCTTGCTTAAGCATTTTCTCATTTTTACTGTTGTTGTTGGGTTGTCCTTAGTTTAACCTTTAGGTTATTACTTAAATCTTCCTGGTATAGTTGGGCTTCAGCCCATGGGTCTCTAATGACTCATACACATTCTCATTTTCATGATACTGAAGAAAACAGCTCATTGAATCCATCACAATCCTTTATCCTAATTGATACAATCAGCACCACAATATGATCAAGCACAACTTGCAAACTGACCACTTGTGGTAGTCATCAGTCTATCACCTTCAAACCATATGAATTAAATTAAAATCAAGAAGCAATCCAAAATATGTTTGCAGTGAATAAACTTTTCAATAAGGATATTTACCATTTAGAAAGGGGGTTTAAGACAGAGTTAGGACAAGAGGAGTAGATAAGTAAAAGAATTAGAGAAGGTTTCACATGAAGCCAGAAGACATAGAATGACTACATAATCATCAGGAAACTGTTAAATTCAAAAGGGGTAAACAGAATAGAAGTATAATAACCCCTGAGTGAGGTAGAATGACATAAGAAAAGAACGTAAAGAGGGAAAACAAATAAGAAATCTGAGTTAGGACAGGGGCAGAAACAAAAAGGGAGATGAGGGATAATATGGTGGAGCAAGAGATTGAGTTAGAGAAAGAGGGCAGGAAAAAAAAAAGAGAATTTGTAGTGTGGAATGAAAAAAAGAAAGAAAAAAATGAGTTTGAAGGGCCTCTTTCAGACTATATCACTGCTGTCATAATATACAACATGCACTGCCATGTGCAGAACCAAGTCCCCTGATCTCAGCTAGCTGGTGGCAGAACCCCACGACACAGACTGACCTTGGGCTGCAAGTCCCAGATTGAGTTCCCCGACCTCCTGAAGGGTTGAATTCCACTCAGTTCTACTACAGGTTTCCTCTGCCCCTTCTTTAAAGATGTTCAAAGTTGGGAGCTCTGGAAAATATCCTTTATGACCATCTGTGCCCCTACAGAGAAGATCTAAAGACTAGCACAATCAGGAGGTCTGAAAGTGTGTAAGTGGGCAGGGGGGTGGGTTCAGGGGCGCCCGCGTGGCTACCTTCCTGGTGCTGAAGATGGTGCTGGCAGTGCCGGCAGGGGAGGGAGCGGCCGAGCAGGCCTTCCTTGCACTGGAGACAGTGGCAGCCCATCATCTCTTAATTGCCCTTATCTCATGGTCTTTTGACACTGCAAAGGTGACTAGTCTAGAAAGCAGGATATCTAATCTGAGTATGGACCCAGTTGGACACATAGATGAGAAGATTCTGGCAGGCTGGAAAAAGGAAATACACAACAGAAATAGCACAGGAATATTACAGATATATTTAGGGCTTTTATTGAAAATGACAAATAACAGACCCAACATTTACTGTACAACTGTGCATGGTAAACTAAGAAAGCTAAAGAAGGGAAGGAAATGGGCAGAAATCTGAAGTTATCACTAGGTTGTGAAGTAGGAGTAGTTTTTTATTGGTCAACATGTTCTTGCTGCCTTGAAGTACAAGTGATACATGTATGACTCTCCCATTGGGTGGCTTGAACCACTAGTGGTAGAAATGGCACAGCCATTCATGGCAGTCATACATGTACCTCCAGTGGTTCAAGCTGCCCAGTAATGAGACTACAAATTACAGCCCCAATGTAAACATG